CTTTAAGTCTTTTTCGATTTTGGATCATGGTAACTATTTTCACTGTAATTTGCAAATATTGAGGGTTTATACCTTATCTATACAATATTTCCCTTGAATCATTATCAAGAATAATTTTAGTATTTTCAGAGTTACCCGAATTTCTAGCACCAATGTTAATATTTGATATAAGTTTACAAAAACTATTTGCGTTCTTGTTTGCCACACTAAAACAAATTAAATTATCAGGCGGCATACAGAAAATATATAACCGAGGTTGTTGTGTTCTGTTCACAACTGATGTTTTTCATAATAAATGTTGATATAAGAATTTTAATTAAAAAACTTCAACACCTGTTTTTAACTCTTATTGAAGAAATGATCAACATGTAAGCTTCTTCACGCCCCATATATACATATTTCATATTATTAAAATTAATTTCCCTGCTAAATTCTTGAACGCAAATTTTCTCTATTGTTTTTTTTTTCATATAAAAAATTTAAAGTCAACAATTTACAGTTATAATATACAATTATACATTGTATACAAAAATAATATACTTATAATTCAAGAAAACAGATTCTATTTTAAATTCAATAATCATGCTTTATATAAAAATGGTGTACAAAAACACTATAGAGAATTTTTATTTCGAAGAAAACTATTTACAAAGTTATTATTATATTTACAATGTCGCAAAATTTTATTTACAATTTTTATAGCTAGTCCCCTAAAAGCAATAACACTTGAAATAAAAACCAAAAAGTAACACTATTACTGTCATATACTTACCTTAATTTGAAAAATTAGAGAGAAAAAAAATGTGTACTTGATTTTTAAATTTCTTTTTTTATTTCTTTGTGAATTTAATGTTAACGATACTATAAGTATGAGATTAACCGATTTAGCAAAACCTAACGTGTTTCGAATGAAAAAAAAAATATTAAAAAAAAAAGAGTACAAAATGGTTTTTAAGTAGAAACTTCATTTGCAACATATACAATTTACAGGATTTACGCAGAAAAATCCTGTAGAATTTTAAGATTTTGAAAATTTTCTCAGACTCCTTTAGACTTCTTTAACATAATGATTTCGTATGAGTTTTATGATCATAGAATTTTGGAACAACTCATAATTATTAAAAATATTTTGTATGAACAGTTTTTTTTTTTTCAACTTGACTCACAAGTCATCGAACCAGCCATACTTTTTACTTTTATAGCAAGTTGTGTATAAAACCTTAAGGGTATCACCAATTTTATAATTTATTTTTGGCATATAATTTTCAGAAAGTTTTAATGAAAATTCGAATTTAAAATGTCATTGAATTAAACATATCGACTTTAGGTAGTAATTTTGCAATTTTTAGTCTCGTGTTTGATACTGATCAAACAATCAAACAGTTTGTAATTTTTTACATAATACTAGATGGCACTTGTTAACTCAATCGATTTTTACTTATCAACCAAGCATTAATTAGAAAACTACAAGTATTTTAAATTAAGTACTTTATGTTGCAAATGGAGTCTTAGGTACAAAATATTTGCTTAGTTATTTATAATATTTTTCCCTTTCATTTTATGAAGTATACATATATTATTTATTTACAAGTTCTAAGCTCTGTTACAGCTTAGAATTTTTTTTTTAAATAATGTTTCTGAAACATTTTTTTTCCAATTTTAACGTTGCGATTATTCATTTTGATATTTTATTTGCAAAAATGTTATAATTTCTTTTTATAATAAATTTTTAACTATACTGAACAAAATTTTAAATTATTCCAAATAAGTGCTTTCTAACAAATTTAGTAATTCAATAAAGAACTCTAAAAGTTTGTTCAAATTTTTAAAAAACATAAAATCTTTGATTTTACAAAGCTTTTATTAAAGCTTCTAATTTAGGCGGAAGCAAATTTTAAAAGAATAGAAAAAAAATTCTATGTTCAATTTCAAATTTGTTTCATAAAATAATTGTTATAATTGTGAAAACAAAATAAAATTAATCAAAAAATAAAATGATTTTTTTATTAATTTAATTTTTCCCCTCTTAATTTTTTTTCTAAAAATATTTTTAAAATTTATTTTTTATGCATGTCTTTGATTAATTTTATAATTTTGCTTAATTTTTGCTTTATAAATATTTACTGTTGGATATGGGTTAGACGGCACACACACATAAGGACACACCAAAAATAAGAAAATAAAACTTATTAAAATAAAAAAAAACGAATATAAAATATATTTATTCATTTATTTGTTCATATTCGTTATATTTTATATAACTGGACCTTATTATTTACACTGAAATAAATCAATTCGTTTGAATTAAATAATAATCTTTTATTCACAATAGTAATTGTTATCGAAAAATCTGATCTACTCTGAGAGACTTCATACTTTTGGAGAAATTTTATGGATTTATCATATAATACCGAAATACACTTTTGGTATGATAGTTAATTGAAAATGAGAAAATTCAACTATATTCTGAATCAAAAGATGTATAATAAAATATTCTCTTTGTTACCGAGTTGTCGAACCATTTTTATTTTTAGAAATTTTTAATTTTTTCTATTAAAATCAAACAGTTCACTTAAAAAAATAGAAGATATTCATTTTAATTACACAACACTGTAAGAAATTAATTCAGTTAAACTATCTGAAATATTTAATATAAAAAAAAAAGAAAAAATAAGTTTTGTTTTTGAAATTTAAATGAAACTAATATTTTTTGCTGAGAAAATGTGTTTTAATTCACAATATATTTATAACAAAAAAGTAATATACTTTATAGATGATTTCGGAAATAAATTTGGGAGAAACTTTCATATTCTTAATTTTTGCAATGAGCAAACGAACGAACCTTACAAAATTCTCTTAAAAAATAAAATTATTTATTTCTCATGTAGTATCATATGTACTACGATAGAAAAAACAATAAAACAAAAATGGAAAAAATAGCCAAATAGTTGTAGGTGTATACCAGTTACAACACATGTGCCGTACTGACATATAAGAGTGGACTTCCGGCTACTCTAAATTTATACAGTAATCGAATTGGCTGTGTAGTAGGCTTACTAAACTTACGTATGTACATAATTTTAATATTCCTATATTTAAGAACATTTAAAAAAAAAATTAAATTTAGTTCAGTGCAAAAATAAGTTTTGTTCCATATAAAAAAAAAACAAAAACAATTAACAGAAAAAAAAACAAAGGAAAAAGAAAGAAAATTATTTATATAATATAGAAATATAACAGTAATAAATTAAATTTTATTATTATTTTTTAAGATAATAATATTGAACAAATTCAATAAAAAAAAAAACTATATATGTAGGTAAATGTTATTATTTACAATTGTTTTAAAAATGAGTGAATTTTTTTTTCAGCGAAATTTTCCTTTCAATTTTTAAATATAATATTATGTATGTATAGAAAAATGTTTATTGAATTAAAAAGGAATTATATGATTATATAATATACATATATATATATATATATATATACAAAATATATATGTAAAACTGAAATTTATACAGAAAAATTATAAAATTTTGAATGAACAAAAGATAAAAACACACAATATATTTTTATAAAACACAAATAATGAAAAAAAATTATTTGATTTAAGAGAAAAAAAAATCAAAAATATTGCAAGTAAAACTTAATAAAAAAAAATTTTTTTTTTATTTAAAAAATATGGATAAAATAAATAAATATATATATATGTAATATTATTATTGTTATTTTTATTTAATTTAAATGGTTTTACGTTTAAAATTATTTACAATATTTTACAAATTTTTTGTTTTATAGTTTGCTCTCATTTTGTTGAGTTAAATGACATTTAATTGTTCTTTTTTTTTTCAAAGAAAAACTATAGTTAAATTAAGAATAAAATAAAAAGTGAAAATAAATTTTTTTTTGCTTTTTACAATAGAAAACCTGTTAGAACTAAAAAAAAAATTTAGACTAAAACAAAATTTCAAAAATTATAGGAAAACAACAAAAACCAAAAATTATAATTAAAATAAAATTAAAAGAAAAACAAAAATCAATCAAAAAAACAAACAGTTGAGATGGGCTTTTATTACTAAAAAAGTTATCCCGGTTATTTTGTGATTTCATATAGATATTATGTATATATAGGTATATATAAATGTAAGTATATATAAATAAATTCCATTTGTGGTTTTTTATTCTTTTTTTTTTTTTTAAACTTACTATACGAAAAATAAAATATAAATAAATAAAGAAATAAATCGAAAATAATAAAAACGAAATATTAACAATATTAAACCTTTTTCGTTATGAAATATTTTATTTACTATACAATATATAGGAATAATTTATATAACATATATGTATGTATATATATATATATAAGTATAGCAAATTAATGTAATATAATAAATTAACTTCTTCTTTTTTTAATCACGTTACGTGTATAAAAAATAAAGAATTAAAGAAGTTCTAATTATTTCTCGTTTTTTTTTTTTCTTTTCTTTTAATTAAAAGTAAAATTTTATATTTTTTTTATTTTCTTCACAAATTGTTTCTTTTATTTTAATTATATAAATATATATTTTCTTTTTGTTTTTATATAATATTTATATATTGTAAAATATATAATATTTAAACTTAATTAATAAAATGTATCATATTTACATAATGAAATAATAAAGCATATATGAAATTAAAATAAATAAGTTTTAGTTTAATATTTAAGGTAAAATTAAAAAAAAATGAAAAAAAAAATAATATAAAATTTTTTGTTGAAATTAAATAATAAAAATATTTTTGTATAAAACCAAACTAAAATAAAATTTAAATATTATTTGGTTTTTTTTTCGATAAATAATGAATATTTTTATTTTTGTTTTCTTTTTCAACACCTTCTTTTTAAAAAAAGAAAAATAAAATATTAAAATTTGAAAAATAAATTTAAAAAAAAAAAAAATTTAGTAAAAAAAAAATTGTATTAAAAACAAAAATAAATAATTAAACTAAATGCTTACAATCATTGTTATCATCATTGGATCGCATTATATAACGATCCGATGAAGTAAATTGAGAATGCCCGTTAGAATTGGGATGAGCTTCCCTGCCCCTAATATTTAATAAATGACTACTATGTGAATTGTCACTGCTTTTAACAATTGTTCGCATTGGCATTGCAGCCGGATTTATCGATTGATCCATCATATACATTGTATCACCTTCACACTCACTTTCTTTATATTGTAGGACATTTTTATGTTTCTCATATATGACCAGGCACCGATGACATCCCTTTCTATTTTATTTTTGATGTAATTTGATTGTTGATCACACAAAGAGATTTTCGTTTTATATTTTTTTTTTTTTTTTTTTTTTTTTGATTTTTAAATGTGAATTTTTTTTGTTTTGCATTTTTTTTTTTGTTAGAATGTTTTTGAATTTTTTATTGAAAAAACAAAAGATAAAAAAAAATTTTTTTTTTTTTTAAAAAGAAATTTAAAAATAAATTGAATATTTTTTTTTCTGAATTATAATAAAATTTTATGTTTTGCTTTGTTACTTAAATACAAATACTTTCTTTTTTAATTTTAATTAAAAAGTGTAATAAAAATTTAAAAATTAAAAAAATCAAAATTAAAAAAAAAGAAAATACTATAAAAAGAACCTGAATAAAATTAAAAATTAAGTATAAAATGTTGTTTTTTTTTGTAACAACTAAATAAGAAATTGTGTTTGTATCAAATTTACTTCACCTTAATATTTATGATTGCGTAATTGGATACAATTAAAAAATCCATTTTGTATTTATATTTAATAAATTTAAATATTTTTGTTTAATTTTATTGTAAATTACGTTTTTCTAAGATAAGTGACGGATATTCAAATTCGAAATCAATCAGTCGGTAATAAAGTCAGTACATTTATTTTTAGAAATTAGGGAAAAGGAAATATTAAGTTGGATTTGTTTTTGTTATTACCAATTATAAAGATTTAAAACATTGGCAAATTGTAATAATAGAGAGCTCCTAGATTTAGGGCTAATATTTTTATTCAAAAATTTTATTAATCTGTTTTTGTCAGTTCAAAAGCTCGGTTATGAGTTTTTATTATTATTAACATTTTTTTAAACTTAACTAAAATTATTTAGAGCCACCATAGTTTTTTCTAGAATATAGGCGTTCAGATTCTGCTTTTTAATTTGATTTGCTTAGAATTTTCTGTGTTAACTAAATTGTGCTAACTTATTAATTTGAATACCGTGAATTCAAATATTGTGTTTAAAAATTGTGTTCACATTTTTTTGTTTCCATTCAAAAACTTAACATTAATAAAAGGTTTATTATTTTATCATAAAAAGAATTTTATATTTCATGAAATTTATTCAATATGGACACTGAATATGAAAAATAATACAATTCAAAAAGTCATTTATGAAGACTATTCTAAGATTAATCTTAAGATTATTAGAAAAGATCTAATTTTTTAAAACTCCACTTTCTTTGACAATTCTAATAATAAAATAATTTTGATTTAAAATTATTAAGAATTTTTCAAATTTTAATACACAATTTTTTATTTAGTTATACATTCTTATTGTAATTATTATATAATAATCATTCAAGAAAAATAATAAAATTATAATTTTATTGAAATTTTAATACTTAACTCATAAAAAATAAGAAATAAAGAAAATAAATAAATATTTTAATATTTATAAATAAAAAATATTCACTTTTTTAACTAATTATTGAAAAAATGCGGCATGGATTCATTTTTTTTTTTTAATTATACATAAAAATTAAATTCACGTTTTGTTCAAATTAAAATAAAGGAATATGATTATTTTATGAAATATCATGAATGTTATGTAATACAGAATGATGAATATTATGTTCAATATAATTATAAAAATTAAAAATAAAAATTTAAGGTTAATTAAATTAAAAATATTTTTTAGCATTCTTAAATAACTTTATTATTTTAATTATTTTTTATATTGTTTTCATGTTGAAATAATAACAAAAAATAAAAAACAAAATGAAGAATGAATGAATTTTTTTGCAAATTTTTATAAAAGAAATGAAATGTTTGATTCTTAGTTTAAAAAAAGTTGTTATATAATTATATATATATATCTATATATATTGAAATAGAGATAGACAGAAAAATTTATAGAGTATACAGAAGGAAAGGATAGAAAACCAACATTTAATATAAATTAAAAATAAATAAATAAATAAATAAATACTTAAATATTAAAGTACAAAAACAGAGAAAGAGAGAGAGAGTATTTGAATTATTTTTTTTTATTTTAATTTTTATAGATATACCATTTTAATATTTAAAGAACAGAAATTAAAAAAAATTTAAACAAAAAATAAAATAAATTTTTTTTTATATTTAACAAAAAGAAAAACATTTTTTTTCCAATTTTCTATATATTTTTTCTTTTAAACAAATTTAATAATATGAAATTATAATTGTTGTTTTAATTAAAATAAAATATTTGTACTTACTCGTCTACTATTAAATATTTGTTACCCTCGGCTGCTTTACATTTACCACGATAACTAAATTGTGAACCTTTTATATGTACTGATTGTTGATAACCTGATAGAAACCATGAACCCTCCCAGAGTGGTGGAAATGTACATTCTTTTCCAACTGAAAATAAAATAATAGAGTATAATATTGTTTACCTTTTAATTTTTAAAAAATCACAATATAATAAAGCTAAAAAATTAAAAAAAAAACTGATCAATATTTTTAATTGAAATTTCCTACTATGTATATGTGAAACAGAGATTAATTGACAAAGAGTTGATTGAGAGTTGATCTATTTTACTAGAGATGTGCTTAAAGCTTTTAAATCCGATTGATTTTCGAAAAATTATTAATAAAAACATAAAAATAGGAAAATTACAAAATCCAAATATTTCAGTACATTGTCTTTAATTTAAATACGCTGTATAAAACCTTAAGACTTCGTACCATTTATAAAATTAACGCTGCATTTTCATATGGATTAATCATTTTCTCATTTTATCAAAATATAAAGATATTTATAATTATAAAATTTAACAATTCTCAAACTAAATTTTACAAGGTGTCAAAAATATGAATCCTTCTTCGACAGAAGTCTTCATTCCAAAATTGATATGCGACAAACGTCCATGAAAAATAATTTTAGAGCTCTTCAAGACTTTTTCCACGGTATGATACTCATATTTCGCTGAAAACTATTTCTTCCTGTCGTTTTTTTTTCGCATTTAATTAGATAAAAACTTTATTTATCAAATAAATAAAAAAAAACATAAATAAATCATAAGTAATTGATTTTAATTAAAAAAAAAATTTGGATTTGGACGTAAGTGCAAAAATATTTTTAAATATTTTTCTCTGCACATACGTACTTATTAATTTCATCTTTTGTATTCGCATTGTCTACATTTTCATATTCCCATTGCATAACAACATATATGCAATAAAATTATAATAGTAATAATATGTTTATTATGCTTTAATTCATTCCATATACATACATATATGAACATACGAAGATAAAAATATCCCTATAAAAATTTAAACTTTAAAATCCTTATGCAATCATATTTAAATTATTTTCACTCAAATGAGTTTAATCAAATGGATACTTTTCATCCTTCGTTTTCTTAAATTATTTTTCACATTCCTCCCCTTCAACCAATAGTTATTCCACAAATAAAGACCCCAAATGTCTAAATATGTTCATTTACATATACATACATATAGATGGAATAGTTTTATTGCAATTTTAACCACTTCTAATTTAACTCATGTGTTTGTTATTCAATAGTAATAAAAGAGCCCTTATAAACGGAAATAGTAAAAACGGCAAGAGCAAAAAAAAAGAAAAAAGCAAATAATAAAAGCAATTTGAAATTGAAAAAAAAAAAGGATGAACGGTTTACAGGGAGAAGAAAAATTTGAATGAAATTTATTGGTTTTTCTTTTTTTGAGGAAATGAAAAAAAATCAACTGGTAAAAAAAAACAATTTTAAATTGCTAAAAAGTCCTTGCGTCTATTTACTCCTTCTCTTCTAATCTTTTCTCTATCCCACTCAATTCTCAAACTCCCAATATTTTCTCTACTCTGAAATGAAGAAATATTTTCATCTATTTGTAACAGCAAAATGAAAATAACATTGATAAGTAAATTCAAATGATAACTGTATATATCATGTATATATATAATTTGCATACATAAAAGTAATGGCGGAACTGTAAATATACACGTATAACGACTTTACTCCAGAGAATTTTCGTATTTTTAAATAAAAATTCATCCATCAAATAAAAATGAAATTGAAAAGAGAAAACATTTTTAACAAGGATTTATGTATGAAGATATGTACTTCAGTATGTACAAGTAGAAAAGAAAAAATTACAGTTATATTTTAAGTGTTTCATTCAGAATAGTGTTGCCACATGTGTTTATAATTCAGAATAGTCAAATTTTGTTATTTAAATCCAGGAAAGCTGCTTTCTTCGTAAAAAATTTAAAAAATTTTTCATTAATTAAATTTATTTATGGCCTATAAAATTTGTTCAGCATTTTAAATTTATTTATGACCTAAAAAATTTGTGCAGCATTTTAAATTAATTTTTCAAAAACTTTAGGTCTTTTTTTTTGAATTGAGTTCATACAATTTATACATATTCAATAGATATTTTACAGAAAGGATGGAGTTTTATATCTGTTAAACAAGGTTAGGTATAGACAGTTATGTTCATAGCGATATAATACCCCCCATGGCAACTCACAGAACAATCTATGTTGCGAATAATGAAAGAGGGCGTTGCGTCGTTCGCACTAAAGGATAAAAATTCTATTTGAAACGTCAGTCAGTATCTTAAATGCCCATTCATCACTGGTTTCCCTCCTCCTCCTATGAGTACCGGGCAGTAACACGATATAGAAAGTGCTTAAAGGTGGTGCTTTTTCCACTAAATCATTATAAATTTATCATTAAAGTTTTTGTTCTTGTCACTGTGGGCACCTCTCTAACATAACATCGAAAAAATGCAACAAAATGTAATAAAAAGTTTTCCTTGAACTCACTGTTTAGTACTCATTGAATGTTTTAAAATTTTATATGTGAATGCAAATGTATCTACTTGTTTTATTTACTATATTTCTCCACATTAAAAAACAATATTAATGTAGTTCTTTTTAATTGCTTAAAAGAATTCGTAGCCAAATCATAATTTTATATAATTAAAGCTACACTTTCAAGATTTCAAGTAAGTGAAGAGAAGAAGATGTTTGTATACGATGTTTCAATTAATAAACGAAATAAACTTCACTTTTTGCACTTTATTTGTTATTTTACAAATAACCGCCAGAAACCAATATTCTAAAACAAAAAGCAAAATTTTATTTCATTACATTGAATATTTTAATAAAAGTAAAAATTTTTTGTTAGAAATTTTAAATTTACATAAATAGTAAATTTAAAATTTCTAAGAAAAATGTATAAATACTTTTAAGAAAATTTTTGTGAAATTGAGGAAAATAAAATTCTGCATATGTTGGTACAAACATACTAACGTATTTAAACAAACTTTGTAAACGGAAGATTTAATTCATGTTAAGAATTTCTTGGAAAGTATTTTGGCATTATTCAAAATAAAATTGCTCTACAATTCTTATAATTTTTTGCTACCTAATTTCAATTGATTTATTACAAATAAGAGCATAAATTTAAAAGCGCGTTTGCACCAAATAAAAGGCCTATATAAAAAGAAATCTTTTTAATAAAGCCTAGCTAGATTCTAGAGTGAGAAACCCTAATCTAATCAACCCCTTTAAATTTTTCAAAATTGAGTAAAACTATTTTTAGTATTCGAGCATGGATACTAACTTCAGGATATATTTGGTTTTGTATTATATTAATTGTACTAAAATTAGAGATACTTCTGTATGTATGTGTTATGCAAATTTCATAAAAGCATTTTTGCAAATGTTCATTTATGGCCTAGATTCTAAAAATTGAATAACTTTTTCTAATGTAAATTATAAAATTTGTCTCGACCGTTTCGCGTTTCTTCATTCACTAATTCCGCAATTATTATTTATTGAAACTTGAACTCCTCCTTAAAAAAAAACTTACATTCCTGGTTTATATTATTCTTAAATTGCACTTATAACTGACCTGAAATTTGTACATAATTATGTGATGCTTGCAACACATAATTATGTATGTACACAGTGTCTATTTATTTATAGTATTAAATGTATAATTTTATATAGCGTCAATAATAAACGTTAATAATATTATAAACATTAAATAAATAGGATGCCTAATAAAATTTAGTCATATTAGGGATTTATTGCAATCGTATCGACGTCAGGTGTTTTCAACAAAAATGCACATCCCCAATCTGAAAGATCGTACTTATAAAAAATTTTTTTTTAGAGATTTTGGTATTTGTCTAAACTTGCCGCATTAAATTTTTTCATAATTTTTCATAATTGGTTGTCTTACTAAATTGCTTGATTTTGCATTCAATTTAAGTTTTTACTAGAATTTGCTGAAAAAGTTTTGATTTGCTAAAGAAAGATGTTTTTATTAAGCAAAATTCCACTGAACAAATTAAAATTTGAAATTAATCAGAATTAATTAAAATTATTAATTTGTCACAAATTGCAGCAACATAAATTAATAAATTTTATGCGTAATATTAAATAACTGGCATTTGTATACATATATACATATGTATACAAATATACATACTTTTGAAATGTATGTAAATAGAAATAACCAACATCAAATTCCTTTATATTTTCAAAGCAATTACGTAATTTTTTCAAATAAGTTTTCGACCTATTTTAAACAATATATTCAAAACTTTTTAATAAAAAAAGTTAAACACTTAAATTCATGGAATTTTTGTATTTCATGTTACTTACACAATATGCGCAAACATACGGTATAAGTACATATACATACATAATATTTACATACAAATAACATGTAACATAAAAAATAAAATAAAAATGGTATATTGTACTTATAGTGTTTTAAGCTTGATTAATTACTACCCCAAAGACCGATTTGCCCATTTTAACATCCCTTAATACTTTTTTACGTAAAGTCATTTAACATATTAAGCAAGCATGCATTAACATTATGTAATTATACATATATATAAATACATTTACGTATATGTATTTCGGAAAACATTTTATAATTTGCACAATTTGAAATATTTATAAATTTTAAATTTATAAAGAATTTATATTTTATAAATTGTAATTTATATAAAAAATACTGAGCGTAAAACGCATGTAATAAATGAAAATTTCAAAGGATTATGTAAGTACATTTCGTTGAGCTTATCAATATTGTAAAATTTTTTGCACTTTAAAAAAATATGCAAAATTCCTAGAATAAAACTTTTTATTAAATTTTACCAATTTAAATTTTATCTATTAAATAAACTATAAAAATAGTAAAGTACATTAGCGGAACTTATTGCAAATTTCTATAAGGTTGATTGAAAGCATCTTCGCAGTAAATATAAATTTCAATATGTATCAAATTTGACCTTTAATTATGTGAACTATCCATTACTTCTGCCAAACTGATTAAAATTACAGCTTAGCTTACACTATAGAGAAA